GCTATACTATACACAAAAATTAACAAAATAAACATCTAAATGTGAGACCAAAAATGATTAAACTCTTATAAGAAAACACAGGCGGTATGCTACTTAACATCATTCTTGGTGGTAGTTTTGGATCTCTTTCTAAAGACAAGGGCAACAAAAGCAAAAATAAATGGGACTACATCAAATTAACAAGCTTCTGCACAGTAAAGGAAATCATCATCAAACAAAAAGGTAACCTACTGATTAGAAGAAGAGATCTGCAAATCATATATCTGATAAGCAGCTACTATCTAAAATATACAAAGAACTCATATAATTCAGTGACAAAAAGAATTCCAATTAAAAAATGGTTAGAGGATCTGAATGACACTTTTCCAAAGACATACAGATGGCAACAGGCACATGAAAAGGTGCTCAACATCACAAATCATCAGGGAAATGCAAATCAAAACCATAATAAGATGATATCCAGGGGCACCTGGGTGGCTCAGTGGTTGAGCATCTGCCTTTGGCTCAGGTTGTGATCCCAGGTTTCTGGGATGGAGTTCTGCATCAGTCTCCCCATGGGGGAGCCTGCTTCTCCCTCTGCCTATGTCTCTGCCTCTCTCTCTCTCTCTCTCTCTCTCTCTCTCTCTCTCTCTCCTCCCTCTGCCTATGTCTCTCTCTGTCTCTCATGAATAAATAAATAAAATCTTAAAAAAAAAAGAGAGAGAGATTTTATTGGGGATCCCTGGGTGGCTCAGCGGTTTAGCGCCTGCCTTTGGCCCAGGGCGCGATCCTGGAGTCCTGGGATCGAGTCCCATGTCGGGCTCCTGGCATGGAGCCTGCTTCTCCCTCCTCCTGTGTCTCTGCCTCTCTCTCTCTCTATCATAAAAAAAAAAAAAGATTTTATTTATTCACTTGAGGCACACACACAGAGAGAGAGGGAGAGATAGTGAGAGGGGACACAAGCAGGGGTGGAGAGGGAGAAGCAGGCTTCCCACTGAGCAGGGAGCCCAACGTGAGGCTCGATCCCAGGACTCTGAACTCATGACCTGAGCCGAAGGCAGAAGCCTAACCCAGTGAGCCACTCCAGCGCCCCTAAATAAATAACATCTTTTAAAAAATGTTATCTTACACCTGTCAGAATGCTCACTATCAAAAATGACAAGAAATAACAAGTGTTGGAGAGGTTGTGCGATAAAGAGAATCCTTTTTCACTGCTGGTGGGAATGTAAATTGAGGTAGCCACTATAAAAAAAACATATGGAGGTCCTCAAAAAATTAAAAATACAACTACTACACAATCTAGCAATTCCACTGATCGGTAATTATCCAAAGAAAACAAAAACACTAATTTGCACCCCTATGTTCACTGTAGCATTATTTATAATAGCCAAGATAAGGAAACAATCTAAGTGTCCACTGATGTTTGAATAAAGTAAGAAAATATGATATATATACATAACGGAATACTACTCAGCCACATAAAAGGAAACCTTGCCATGTGACAAGGTTTGTGACAACATGGATGGACCTTGAGGATATTATGCTAAGTGAAATAATCCACAAAAAACAAAGATAAACACCATTATGTGAAATCTAAAAAGCGAAACAAAAGAATAAATAAAACTCATAGATACAGAGAACAGACTGGCAATTATCAGAAGGGAAAGGGGTTGGAGGATAGGTGAAAACAGTAAAAGGGATCAATTGTATGATGACAAATTAACTACTCAGTATGATGATCACTTTTTAGTAAAGGAAAATATAAAATTATTATGTTACACACCTGAAACTAATGTGTTACATACCAATTTCACCTCAATTAAAAAATAAAAATAGCAGGGTACCTGGGTGGCCGAGTTGGTTAAGCGTCTCCCCTCAGCTCAGCTCAGGTCAGGTCCTAGGATGGAGCCCCGCATCAGGCTCCCTGCTCAGAGGAGAGCCTGCTCTCCCTCTGCTGCTCACCTTGCTTATATACTCACTCGCTCTCTCAAGTAAATAAATAAAATCTTTTAAAAATAACAAAATTTTTAAAATAGCTTATAAGCTAATTTAAATAGTTGAAGACAAAAGAAAATTTCCAAGATAATTTAAAAACAACTGTTTCAGGGGCTCCTGTGTGGCTCAGTCAGTTAAGCATCCAACTCCTGGTTTCAGTTAAGGTCATGATCTCAGGGTCGTGGATGGAGCCCAGTGTCAGGCTCCATGTACAGTGGAGAGTATGCTGGAGATTTTCTCTCTCCCTCTTCCTCTGCTCCTCCCCCCGCCACCACTTGTGTTCTTTCTCTAAAAAAATTTAAAATTTTTTAAAAATGTAAAAGCAACCTGTTTTGCAGGTCAAAATACATAAGAAACACGTAAGTTTACAAATGTAAATATGTAGACGGTTCATAACAGAGAAGTACAATATTCTAGAATTTCTTAGTGACTACCACCATTAATTCCTCTATGCTTGAGATCGCAGCAATATCAAATTATAGTGAAGCCCATTTTAACATATATTCAACACTCAAAAAGCCAATTATTTATTTGACTTATTAAATATTATAGTGTATGTTAGGGCTTCCTATAGCCCTGTCCTTCCTCAGATGTTATACTATAGCAAAATAAACTACTTAAAATTTCCTAAACACATATCTAGTTTTACTTGTTCATATCTTCTGTTGTCTTTGCCTAAAATGCCCTCCTTCTCACTCATTTAAAACTTCTATTCATTGTCTTCAAAATCCTGCTCAAGGGCTAGCATCCCCAGGAAGCTTTCTGTGATCTCCCCTTCAAATTAATCTTTCCTTTCTCTGTAATAATTCTTTAGTTTTAAATGTATTAAGTGGATTCTATTAAAATTATCTCTTTACTCTTGTGTCTAGCCACCTACAACTATGATTTCAACATCCTGAAAGTCAATCTCTAACAAAACCACAGGATTGGGCACAGAAAAATTTATTGAATTTTTAAAAAATATATTCCCCAAGTACACAGCTATCTATGCATTGAAATATATGCTGTAAAGTAGAATGCACAGCAAAAGAAAACGCAAAGTGTACCATAGATAATCCCTAACTCCCATAATGCAAATGTGAATTAACAATGATTATTAGCAGTTCCAATTTGTTTCATTAGAAGTGCCATTCTACTAAGTGACCATCACAACTAACTTTGTTGAGGAAACAGATTTGCTCAAGAAACATAACTGGTTTTAAAGTGTTGATTAAAAAGAATTAAGGTATATCAGGTACTTAAGTAAACTCTAAAAATGAACAGCCTAAGCTGTAAACAGCAAGACTTCTAAATGGCTGGTACTCTTGGGCTCTCCTACCAAGGTTCTGAAGACCACTGTCACTATGACCTCATCCTTCCAGACTATGACCTCTTAAGGGTCAAGAAAAATGGTAGCAGTGTCCATACCTCAGTCAAGAACAACTAGATACATTCCTTTAATAAAATGATAGTCATCTTCCATTAACATCATCAACCAGTTTAGCCTAAACAAAATAAGAAATTAATACAACACAGGTATAATTAGCGTGGTCTCCTTGAAATGTAACTTAGATTTAAAAAGACAGATTGGGGACGCCTGGGTGGCCTAGCGGTTAAGTGTCTGCCTTTGGCTCAAGGCATGATCCTGGAGTCCCGGGATCAAGTCGTCCCGCATTGGGCTCCCTGCATGGAGCCTGCTTCTGCATCTGCCTGTGTCTCTGCCTCTCTCTCTCTCTCTCTCTCTCTCTCTGTCTCTCATGAATAAATAAAACCTCAAAAAAATAAAAAATAAAATAAAATAAAATAAAAGGACGACTGAACATTAAATGAAATGACACTGAGTATCAGTTATTTAGTACCTGGTGAAATTTTAACAAATATTTCATGTTCTGTTACTCAAGTAACACAACTAAACAATATCTTTCATTTTGGCTTCTTAAAAAGTTCACAACCAGCACCTGCCAAGTGCTTACCAAAACCTTGCTCCCAACACACGTGCTGTGAACAAACCACATACATTTAATGGGTATGTCCTAATGCCATTTTTTTTTTTTTTCATAGTTAGGTACTGCTTCCCTAATGCAATCTGCACCTAATTTCCGGGGACTGAAAAATCTAAGCAAAAGGTACTAGCAGGTACTGAGTGAGGAGCTAAAGGAATCTCCCATGGATAAAACACCTGTATTTTCATTTGCCCCAGTGTTCTTCTGGTCAACTTCCCAGATCTTGCTTAGTCCACAGAATGAAGCTGCTAGATTGGGATCTTACAAGTAAGTTTGTTGTAACCATTCGTGACAATTAAGAATATCTCTCAGGGAGGGATGCGTGGGTGGCTCAGTGGTTGAGCATCTATCTGCCTTCCGCTCAGGTCGTGATCCTGGGGTGCCTGGATGGAGTCCCGCATGGGGCTCCCGATGCATGGAGCCTGCTTCTCCCTCTGCCTGTGTCTCTGCCTCTCATGAATTAATAAATAAAATCTTAAAAAAAAAAAGATTCTATCTCTCATTAATTAGGATTTGACTAATACCAAGTATAGTCTCAAACCTGTTGAGAAACAGAATCACTATTTCCACTGATTAAGTATCTTTAATTTTTCAATTTCCCATAAACTTTCTCTGCTACTCTTACAGGCTCAAGACAAATTCATGAAGCGGATGATTCGGGTTACAATCACAAGCACTGTTACCACTCGAAGGAATAGGCAATCCTGAACGACTTAGACAAAATTTCACTGGCCTCTTAGTAAAGGAGAGATGATCTTTTACCGGCGCCTTGGGTGAAAGCCACAGCACCCACTCAACCGTAGAATCTAAGGTGAGAGTGAAAAATCTAAAAGCTGGAGAGAAAAGACAGTTTGCTGAGCCATTTTTGTCATTCCTGTTCAGTTATCCACGAAGCGCCCTAAAAACGGGAGATGTGACAAAAATTCTGAAAGACTGCTGTTCCAAAGAATAACGGCAAGAAACAGAATTCAAAACCCTGCTCATCTACTTTCCGACTGCTAGCGGGGAGGAGGAGCACTTTACTCAAAAAGTAATCCACTGTACCTCGTTCGTGAACCAAAGCCAAATTTCACCCATAGGCTGTCAACCGATGCTCCAAAACTTACTCGCACAAAGTACGCTGAGAAAGAAATGGGGCTGGGCGAGACCTAACTCGGGCACAGAAGCGGCTTCCAAACCTGGAAGGGAGAGAACAGCGAGTCGGGTCGCGGCTCCAGAAATTTCCGAGCGCCCGGCTCCGGCCGAGCGAGCGCGGGGCCCGCCGCGGGGAGGGGGCGGCGGCACCTGTCACTCGCGGCCCCGCCGCCCCGGAGCCCCCGGGCCCGCGCCCCGCGGGGTGTCGGGCGGCTCGGCCACGGCCCGGGCGCCGGGGCCTGAGGAGGCGCGGGTCCCCGCCGGCCGCCCCGAGCGCGGCGCCGCGGCCCTTCCCGAGGAGCGGCCCTCCCGCGCCCTGTGCCCGGCGGCTCCGGCCGAGTCCCCAACCGCCCAGCCCGAGGCGCACGCAGCGGCGCGGCCGAGGCGCCACCCGCGCCCCGGGGGCGCCGGCGCTGCCCCCCACGAGGCGGGCCCGCCCTCCGCGTACTCACCGGGCCTCCCCGGCCGCCGGCTCGGCCCTCCTCTCCCTCCTCCCCCCGCCGCCGCCGCCGCTCCCGCGGCTCCCGGGGCGGCCGCGCTGGGCGTTGGGACTAGGCTGGGTCAAGGGGCGGGGGCGGGGGCGAGGGCGGGGGCGGGGGCGGGGGCGGGCTCGCGCGGCGGGGCTCGCGCGGGGGCGGGCCAGCGGGCGGGCGCCGGGCACTAACGGGCCCCGCGAGCGGGCGCCGGGCTGGGCGGGCGGAGCGGCCCGCGGCGGGGAGCGCGGCGGCAGCTGCGGGGAGGGGCGGGGAGAGCGCGGCTGCGAGCCGAGGGCGGGAGGGAAGTCCCGGCGGAGGGGGCGGCGTGAGAGCCGCGGGGCGGGCCGGGGGCGGGGCCAGGCGCGCCCGCCGCCGCGCGCCGGGGTTTGTTTATTTTCCCGGTTGGTTGCGGCGCTGGCGCGTGGGGAGAGGTTCGCCGGTGACGTGAGCGCCCCGGGCCGGGGGAGAGGATCACAACCACCTGCCGGAGAAGGGGAGCTACGGGGGCCGGGCAGGGTCCAAACGGCTCGCGTAGGCGGCGGCGCCGCGGTCCTCGGGGTTACCGGGAAGGGAAGGGCTTTCCCTGGGCGTGTGCAAGGAGGAGGCCTCCCGAGAGAATAGGGCTCCAGGCCGTTCCCCCACGGCTCGGCGGCCTCACCTGCGTGGCGGAGAGCAGTCTGGGGGTGATGGGGAGGAAGAGGGCCGGGGGACCTCCCATTCGTGAAGTAGGGATGGTCCTGCAAATCGGGATTTCCGTAGCAAGCCTGCCATCAGCTCCCCGAAAGGAAAATAACCAACAGGGCTCAGTTCCCTGGAGAGTTGCACAGCACTTCAGTGTCCTGTCCCTTGGTGCCCCGTCAGGTAGTAGGATTCTCACGTACCAGCCAAGTAACGCGCTCAAAGCCTCACAGCTAATAAGCGTGAGAGCCGGGACCGGCTGCAACGGACTTCAGATTCTGTACCGCTTACCGTTGATCACACTATCTCCCTAAATCCCTTTGATTTAACTGATGGTAGACCCATAAGCTCCCAGAGGTAACGTCTGCAGGGTTACGGACGATAAGGATGTTATCCTTACCTTAAGAGAGTAACGAATAAAATAAAAGATAAAGCCGTTCTAATAAGAGACAAACCATGGTAGGTGTCGTCTGAAAAACACAAAGAGTATTGAAGATCAAAAAACTGCTTCTATCTGTCTGGGGGATCAGGAAAGAAAGGCAGCCTGGAGGAGGAGGCATTTGGGATTAACTCTGAAGGAGAAAGGGAGGATTTTTACAGCAAGAAGGGATAGCATGAGAACATCCTATGAAGATCAATCAATGAAAGTCACGGTCAGGAAAAAGTAAATGGTTAAATTCCAGAGCATGTTGAGAAGTGGCAGAGACAAAGGGGAATTGGGGCCCTATGCCAAGTGGGAGAATTTGTATTTAACACGGTACTTTGAGTTTTCGTGGTTTAAAAGTTATTTGGGGGAAATAATAAAAAAAAAAAAAGCCTCTCTATGAATGGATACGAAAATCAGAGGTGGGAAAACCACCAGATAGGCCAGGTGAAAGGTAAGGATGAGTCTGGACTAAAGATAGGGGCAGGAAGGTGACGTGGAAGCAGAATCTACAAAATTTGGGGATTGATTAATTGGTTTTACAGGAAGAAGGGATAACATGAGAACATATAGAAAGGTGGATGCAAAAAAAAAAAATGAAGGTTCTAAGTGTGTAGGTAATTATAGAAGAGACAAGTAGGAACTGCTTGAGACATCAGTTTAGATTTGGATATTTTAAGAATTTGAAAGATTGTTGGGTCAGCCAAATAGATGTAGATATTAAGTTAGAAATAAAAACTTTGACATATAGGAAAGAGGGGTGAACTAGAAAAGAGAGTCGTAAGTTAGCTGCCCAGTGGTGATATCACTGTGAGGGAAAAGAAGAAAACAAAGGGCAGAATCTTGGAGAACATCTTAGAACTTTGCTACTCAAAAGTGTGGCCAATGGCCCAGCAGCACTGGCATCACCAGGAGGTTAGAAAGGTAGAATCTCTGCGCCCTTGCCCTCAAACATGCTAAATCAGCATCCTCAATTTAACAAGAACCCTAAGTGATTTGTGTCCCATCACGGTTTGAGAAACTCTGACCTAGTTAAGAGAAGCCAGCAAATAAAGAAGGAATCTCACCTAGATGGGAGAAACCAGCAAGGAAAGAGGGAAAAGGAAGTGAGAGGAGAACCAGGGTAATGCAAAATCACCAAAGCAAGGTAAATTGGAGTTTCACAAAAGCGGAGACAAGGAGTGTTTATTGATACTAATATCACCAAGCTTAAAGAGCACAAAGAAAGAAAATGTGTTTGAATTTGTAATTGGGTGGTATGATCATATGACCATGTTGTTCTAATTGAAAGCTTGGAAACTACTTTGTGATGGGAAGAGCCTAGAAATATAATCTACCCCTTCCAAACCCACCCCACCCCCACATATATGGGACATATGGAAGTAGGCTTGTGGATTTGATAGAAATTCTTTCCTAGTTGCTTCTATTTTCTGAGTGAACTAAGGAGCAAGATCATTTTGGCAGACTGCTAATTGTCCATTACAATCTCTTCTCCCCTTCTTCCTGGGCACACAGACTGTTTCTCTCAGTTTTTCTCCCAGTTAGTATAGTCAAGTATTAAGTCATTGCTAATGGAATGTGAGCAGAAATGATGTCTACCCCTGCCAGGCCAGAGTGTCTCCATGCATTTTTCCTTTCTGCCAGCTGAATTATGCAGATGACTACAAGCCCCTGGGGTTGACAGAACCACATGAAGGAAGGTGCTCGAATGGAGAGCTGCCCACTGACCTGGAAAACCCACTGTCAATTATTATGTGAGCAAGATATAAATTTCTCAAGTTAGAGCTTTAACGTTTTGGGGTCTGTTTGGCCTACTCTAGCTAATGTAGTCAATAACTGAAGAGGAGCTTGGGAGAGAGGGGAGAGAGAAGGCAAGGTGAAAAAGCAGTTTGACTGTGGGAGACAGATTGCCTAGGGAAGCATAGTAGGGTTTTCAGGTACTATTAAGGGCCTACCTGAGAGAGTGGTCATGAACTTATAGTCAGACCGGTCAACATGGCTGGGGCCCATATTTTTCCTCTAGCCATATTCCATTGCTTACATGCAAACACTGAATAGGCAGTTTGGGATTAACCAGGACTGAGATTTGGCCAGGCAAATAGGATGAGGAGTGACAGGCAAAGTGGCTGAGGGTAGAAGCAAAGGAGGCACCATAATTTTAGAAGACGTAAGAGGTAAGGCTATGGGAAAGATGGGGAATAGTGCAAAAATGGTAGGGTGAATAGATAGATTGGTATTTCTGATCAGGTTGAAGAATAGTTGGATTTTTGGTACTACAGAGAATAATCTGAAAGTTGGAAGCTTGAAATTAAAATGAGAGGTGGGGCTGTAGTTAGTAATGCCAAGGTCTACACCTTGAAATGATCATGGGAGTGGGTTACTGAGAAAGCAGAGGGTACAAGATCGTTTAAAAAGAGCTGGTCAAGGAATTGAGAATATTTGAAATATATGTATTTATATATATATATTTATATATACTTATATATTTATTTATATGTATTTATATATATTTATATATTATATATTCATTTATATATATTATATATATTATATAATATATATATGTATTTACCTCATGAAGAATTACCAAAGGACTATTAATAATGTTGGAGTAGTGAACAGCCTTGGAAAGAGTGATAATGAGCCTGGTACTAACATCTTCAAAGAATGAGGGGTTGAATTCTCTGAATTAGGGTGTTTAAGGCCAGTGTGTTAGACTCTTGTAGAGATCATGTTTCACTTAAACAGGCGCTTTTAAGTTTTGTGTTACTAATGTGGGATTTGTAATTGCTTCTCTTTGACCTCTCAGATTACAGATGGTAACTGCTTTCTTTAAGAGGAAATGCCCATCTGTCTGTATTACAAAACAAACACATGCCAGGCTTTCCAGTTTAAATGACTATGCTTTAAAATTTGTCATAAACTACTCTGTTCTACCTCCAACATGTATCCTCAAATAGATACATCAACTGTGATGCTAGCTATGCTACATCGAATATAATGGGCTATAAATGTTCAAAATATACATGAAAAACCTTAGGTGTAACTTAACAATAAGTAGGGATTGACTAGAGACCTGGCAAATTGGAAATGAAGAGATTGCCTGTAGCTTAGAAAATGACATACCACGTTAACAACCATAGGGACCCCGGAGTCACATTGCTGAGGGTTGAATCACAACACCCATCTAATGGGGTTATTTTGAGGATAAGATATGTAATATATTCAATAAAATAAGCATTTAAAAGACTGCTTAGCCCATATAAGCACTCAATAAAATTTATTCTATTCTTGTACTATAACTCTTATGGACTTGCCTATAATAATATTTTAGCTTTTTCTACCTAGAAAATATGTTTATTACATCTATACATGTTAAGAGCTATTGGTAAGGAGACTTCTGGTTAAATGTAGTGCATTGAACACACTGTTTTCTCCACTTACTCTAGATACCTCATTAAAATGACAGTGAAGCAGGGACACCTTGGCTGGCTCAGTCAGTAGAACATGCAACTCTTGAACTCAGGTTGTAAGTTTGAGCCCCATGTTGGTTGTAGAGATTACTTAAAAATAAAATCTTTTAAAAATAAAAAATAACTAAAATGAGGGGCATCTGGGTGGCTCCATCAGTTGAGCATCCAACTCTTAATCTCATCTCAGGTCTTGATCTTATGGTTGTGAGTCTGAGCCCCATATTGGGCTCCATGCCCAGCAAACCCAGTATGGAGCCCACTAAAAAATCATAATAATAAAATAAAATGAAATGACAGTGAAGCAATAAAAAAAGTATAAACCCATAACATGAAGCCTAGGAAAAGATCCCTGCTGAAGAAGGATGTCAACAAACCTTAGGAACATGAAAAACAGATGGATGAGTGATAACTGACTTACCAAACTGAGAAAATTAATACCTAAGCCTTTGGGAGGGGGTAGAGACAGCCAAAGTGAACCCATTCACATCACAGACTCTGATGTGTGAAGGCTCTGAAACTAGAGCTGCCATGACTCTGAA